GCCACGCCGGGCTTGCAGGGGCAGTCGCCGGTGCTGGGGTCGCAGAAGGTGCGGGGGCCCAGGGGGAGTGTGGCTGATCCCAGTGGGTGGCAGGAGCAGGCTGCGGGGGACACCGTGGGGGAACAGAGAGCATTTGTGAGTGCAAAAGTTCTGTGGGACGAAGGCGCAGGAGATACCTGTGAAACTGCCGCTCTGCTTAGGGACAATGATGTTTCTGGGCTTTTTTTCCCCTCTCGCCCGTATAAATCTGACCAGAATCTCCCTTTAGAAACTGTATGACTTTAACTTTTGTGAGGTATCTTAATTAGTCAGCCTACCCTGGTTTTGCGTTATGTTTTGCCAAACAGGTCTTTATTATTTTCCTTATAGAATCTGGACTCTAGTCCAGCCAAGTACCCAGGGATGTGCCTGGCTCACAATGATGTTTAAGCAGCTGTGGGTGCTTCATTGCAAAAATGAATCAGAGCATAATTGCTTTCTAAAGTAATAACAACTGTCTTGCATCCAGGAGGCCAAAAAAAACCCCTCAGAATGGTCATTTTAACTAAAGTGGAGGCTGAGCAAAAGGTACCCCTCTGCTTCTGTCTGATTTTCTTTTAAACCTATCATTTCAAAACGTTAAAAAAAAAAGAATGAGGACACCGACGGCTCAGAGATATGCTTTTGCATATACTCCAGGACACAGGTTTGCAGAGTGCATGTCAGAAAAGCTGGCTGCTCTTTTTTCCTCCCCCACAGCCCCTTGCAGCAGAACGATGCACTGGAAGTGTACTGGGACACACTGGGAGAAATGGCCATTCTCACAAATCAGAAAGGATGCCCTAAAATAGGTGGTGTGAAGTTTTTCTTGCCTACTTCTTAGGATTTTTCTTTTGCATAAATGTAATTTGTATCTGTTCTAAGACTACAATCTTTTTGCCCCAAAAGATGTTAATCTTTTCAAAGATCAGAAATACAGTTATCAAATGTGTGAGCCAAACCTCTGACCAATTGGCCTGGCCAGCAGGCAACACAGTGCCCCGCAGTACCAGTAGCTGGGTGACTCGTGCTCTCCTTCCCTCAGGGTTTGGTTCTCTGACCAGGATGTGTTATGGTCAGCCTTGTGCATTATGGCAAAAAATTCCCTGCTGAAAGACTTTTGTCTAAAACTCAATTTACATAAAAATTGGATTTCCTGAGAAAATTTCATTTGGAGGGAAAATTTGCACCAAATTCTAATACGAATATTTTTATTTTGCAACTGTGAAGGCAATAAAGCAGAAAAGCCACTGCATGCAACACAACCTTTCTTTCTCTTAAAATACTTATTGCTGTGCACATATATTTAGTTTTGCTCTGACAACATTTTTGTGGTTTCAGGGATTTGACATACCTGGAGTGTTGTTTCAAAATATTAAAGGATAGATTAATATTGGCAGTTAACTTAGAGGTGACTACGATTCCAAAACCTTTGCCAAAGTAATCCCCAAATTTTCCCCACCCTTTCCATTCCCAAACAAATATAATTATATAAAATTAAAAGATTAGAAAGCCTCTCCACAAACGGCATAACTAGCTGCAGGCAGTGAACTCCGGTACCGTAAATAGCATAGTTTTCAACAGTGCTCACTGAGACTCGCATACCTTTCTCCTGAAGTCTGTGAAGTGTTTTACACCTGACACACGTAGCCAAATGCTCTGTTTTCCTACTAGATGTGGTGGCTATTTCTGGCATTCCTCAGCCCCTTCAGGGGAAATATCAAGCACTTAAAGCTCTTCTATTCTCCTGCAGTCAGTGAGCTAAACCCAGTGCTCAGAGAGAGATTTGGTCCTGTTTCGGTCAGGTTTCAGCTGAGTTTTACACCCAACAGTACTGGGGTTGGAGCTTTTTATGTTTTAGACAATGCTTTTGCACAATTATTTTCCCTAATGGAAAATTTAATGGTAGTGGCAGCACCATGGTGAGGCAAGAATATTAAATTTACAAAGGCTGTTACGAAAAATACAGCAGCAAGCTCATAGGCAATTAAAATGGCAATCAAAAATGAGAATGTAGTTGGCTATACTTTTTAATAAAAGCTGCAAAGAGATGTGTTGTAAAGGTTGGTCATTTCTACAAGGGCTGCACACCTACCTCCACGGACCCTGTCTTCCTGGCTGCTCCCTTATGAGCTACCAAGGCGCCGACCTGCTTCCCATAGGTGGCTGGTGAATTGAAGCTTTTTGGTCTTGCATCTTGGGTTGAGGCCCAAGATGACGTTAAGTGGCATTAATCTGGATGCTTTGGGTGGCAAATTTACAACACGGTAAATGTTTGTGATGTGCTGCAGTGGGAACGTGCTGAGCAATGCAGAGACATAAAGTGCAGCCCATCACTACACACCGAGCACAGAAATGAGACTCTAGAGCTCAAATGTGAGCACGTTGTACCAACTTTGAAAGAAATGCATGAAAATAGGTCCAAGTGCTTCCGTACTATGGCAATGGCAGGAAGAAAAGGACTGCAGGACTGATTATACAACATTTGGCAGCTGCAGCTACTGTTCCCTCATGGGCTGCTGCACTGAGTGTTGGTTTTAGATCCCGTTTTCCTCCTTCCATTCAATCTGCACCTCATGGTAGCACAGGTAGTAGGAGACCCACCTCCAGGAAGGTGAGAGGAGCCGCTGAGCAGCAGATAAAGCAGCTACAGACAGTGTTGGATGGCACTTCGTGGTGGATACATGGGCACAGAGCGCGAGACTCTCAGTGCGAGGCTTCAGGACAGTGCCTGTCTCATGTGCCATGGCCATCCCACCAGCGAGGCTGGGGGTTTCCATGGCCAAGGGAGCTCCAGTGAGAGAAGGGCTGGCTGGGCACCTCTAGCCTGGGACCAAGAGAAACCTTCCACAAGCTTGATCTTTTTGCTTTCTTTTCGATTGTAAGCAGCATCGTTAAAATGCCAATTTACCACCCTGTACTACATAGCAATATTTTGCACGTGACTTCCACGCACATATGAATTAACAGCCGCCTGTCCTGGCATCGCATGTGCTGATTGAGATCGAAACCCAGTGAGTGGGACTCCAGCGGAGCTGGATTTCCCCGCCCTGGATTGGTGATACTATTGTGGTTTCTTCAGCTGCCAGCTAACCTTTGGAAATGACAAATATTTACCCTCAAAAACCTACAGTTGAAAAGTAAAAATAAACTTGGCAATTATAAAACCCAATTTATTGTCTGCAATTATACTGTAGCTCAGGCTTAAAAATTCATGAGGGATGTAAAGAAAGGGACCGATAGGTATGGTGGGGGGAAAGAGTCATCAGATTGCTGTTTTAAACTGCAGAATGTCTCGTTTTATCGGGTACACACCTACTCCTGAGCAAATATTATATACACTCTTCGCCTACAAGAATCTTTAAAGTATCCTTAAAGATTATGGCTTAACAACTCCTTTATTTACTTTGACCTTGGTATTTTTAAATTTTCAATGCTACCCCATGGTTGAGCAATAATGGTGCCTTGAGCCAGAAGCAAGCAGGCAATGCCGGGGCCTTCCCAGAAAGAATAACAGGGCACCACGCACATCCCTTGTTATGGCAGACCACGGCACGGTCCTTGGAAATGTGACATGCATAGGCTGTAGTCGGTCTTATATAATTTAATTTAACAGTCATTAGTCATTTGCTACGGCCCTGCAAGCTGCTGGGCTCCCCCGTGAGATGCCGGGTCCCCAGGTGCAGGGAGCAGCCCCGGCAGCAGGAGACCAGAAGGGAAACGGTGAAGGGGTCCTAGGGAGGAGAGCATTTGCAAGGGTTTGAAATCCCCAGAGAGAAATAATCTGTGTGTTTGTGTCAATAGGGTCTCTGAAAGGAAAGCATTCAGATAATCCCTACATTTTTGTGGAACCCAGTTTATGCTGGGGAAAGTTGTCTCCCTGAGATACTTGAGTACTTCATGCTGTGTAACTCACAAACACCGAAAAAAAAAGAGCAACAAAGTCGATGTACCTAATGCAGAAGGTAAATAAATGTAGACTTTTGCTCACTGTACTCAAGGCTATCTTACAGTTCTTGTCAAATATATGTTACCTTTGGCCTTTAAATACCAGAGTTCGTGAATACATAGTGGTCCATAAAGAGGCTGGATTGTTGCATTAAAGAGTAACGGAAACAAATTTATAGTCTTTATGTCATACACACTTTTTTTGGGGAGAAAAAATGTGGAAAGTGGAATGCCATTTTTTTGGGAGAAAAAATGTGGAAAGTGGAATGCCACAGGCCAGTGATTTACAGATGAATGCAGAAAGCCGAGAGGACCGAGCACCAGCATATGTCAACAAAAATACCCATTAATCATCTCATCTCCACAGCTTCCTCCTGCCCAGAAGGGCTGGGAGAAACTTTTTAATCAAGTCTCCTGGGATTTGGCTAACATATAGCTAATAACATGATGTAATGCCTGACTTCATTAGCACTGGTCTAACTTGCACACAGGCACACGCACACTGTTGGCAGCCTTCCCTTTGAGCCATGGCTGTTTTGCAGCGATACATCCCGAGACCTCTGTTTCCATCTGGTTTTGCAAGGAAGGAGGCTCCGTGCTGGCCAGCCTGGGAGGTGCCATTTGACTCCCTCTCAGATCCTCCAAACAGCCGCAGGATTTAGACAGGTATTTTGGCACCAGGAAAACCTTACGATGGGTCCCTTGTGAAACTCCATCTCCTTGATGGGCTGTATGAGACGTCACAGGAGATGGCAGCCACTCCTACCACCTCCAAGGTAAAGGGCATTATCTTTAGGTGCCCAGAAGACGGCGCTCAAATCAGTGCCAAAGCTTGACTTGGCTTCGATGGCCTCGGAAAAGTGCGTGCTCTTCCCTGATGGGAGCTGGCACATAAAAAGCATCACGAATTACAATCCTAGTGAAGGTAGCACAACCCCAGTAAAAGCACATTCCGGAGCTTGAGGGTCCCATACAAAATTTATTTCAGTCTTTCATCCTGCGTTATCTACCAGGAGTCAATTAATCCAATTGTTTTTTTTTTTTTAATCAGCAAGGCTGAATCCATGAGTTAGAAAAAAACCCTCAAGCCCCTGCTTTGGGTCTAAGTGCAAGATTTAAACCTGTATTTTTACTAATGAAACTCCAAAACAAAAGTTTGTTGCCTAAGTTCTGGCAATAATTACAGAGGGAAAGTATCTGATGTTTCAGAGGAGACTTGGAACTTCGATGCACACAAGTAGGTAAAGGAACTTTAAAAAGTCATTAGATTTACTGTTTAAGAAAACAAATTTGTGTACATACTACAGCAGTGAAATAATTATTTACACAAGTAATGGGAAACTGTGGTCAATTCTGTTTTCATAAAGAGAATTAGGGTTGTAAAACAGGCGATTCAGCTGTTGCTGCTCCTCCTTGCAATGAGTGAAAGGTGGAGGGGAGGAGGACTTCTGCAACAGGCTGGCAGGGCCGCCGGGAATCTCATGAGGATGATGCGCAGCGAGGGAGTGGGACAAAAGCAGTTGTTCCCAACCCAATCCCGCAGACAAAAGTGAAACTGCACACACCCTCCCAGCCCCAGGGTGCAGCTCCCCACCCCAGAAGGGTTTCTCTTCCTTTAAATGCAGGTGCTTCTCCTTTGGAGGAGAGAGATGTGCTCAGTGTCCCCTCAAATGACACAAGCAGCATGTCAGTCGGATTTTTTTTTTGCCGCCCATGAAGGTCCTCCTCCAGATTTGGGTCAGTGAGGAGAAATCTGGTGAAGCCAGTGGGTGGCTGTAGGGGCAGAGCAGAGAGCAAGCCTGCACCCTATATTTAGCTGACCAGTGTAATGTGCTCAGCGTGGTTTGGGGATCCGGAGTCCCCCACGGTGAGTCACCATCCTCACAGTGGTCCCTGGGGACTGTGGCTTTTGGATCACTGCTTTTGCTTGGGAAATATTTAATTTCACATGTGGCCGAGTCATTGGCTTTGGCCTGGCCTCCCTGGTGTCACGCCTTCTGGAATATCACTTAACTCGTGTTCCCATCTCTTCCTCCATACCCACCTGCTGCTGCTGTGAACATGCGCTGGTGGGTGATGCACCAGCTGTTGGCTGAGGCACCCTGCTTCCGGGGTTGCGGCAATCACCAAACAAGGAGAACATGCAAACATGATGCAGCTTTTGCACTCCAAAAATAGCAGGAGAAAGTCAACGAATCATCTCTCTTCCCCTGTCCCCAAGCTACAGGGATCCTCGGGATAGATTTGTCAACAGCATCTGCAGGCTTTCGCCCTGCAAACCGCACCATTGCTTTTTGCAAACAGCATCAATACGGGAATTCAAAGAACTCCCTGTCCCGCACTGAAGCAAGAAGATTGCTCCAAGGAGGAGCAGGAAGATCTCACCTTTCCTTTGACGCCCTCCCACTTAATAGAAGCATTTTACTAGTAAAAGGTTGCTGACTTACGTTTGCAGGCATCTGGGGCAGAGAAGGGCTTCCTGAGGTCCCGGTAGAAGCCCGGCTTGCAGCGCTGGCAGTGCTGCCCTTCTGTGTTGTGCTGACAGTTGTCGCAGACGCCGCCGCTGTGATTGCCTGATGCCAGCCACGCATCCATGTCAAAATGACAAGTGTCGGCATGCCCATTACACTTGCATGCTGAGACGAAGCCAAAGGGAACAGAAAGTCTCATTAAGACAGTGAAAGATGTTGATTTATAGAAAAGAGACACAAAAACCCAAACCATGTTTTGGAATGGGAGACCTGACCTATGAACCCGTTATTCATTCAAATGCATGAAGTATCATCACATTTTCATTCACGCTTCCCAACCTTTAGAGGTGACATTTAAGAAAAAATAATTTAACTCTTTTATTTCCAGTATGGCTTTCCCAGTACAAGGGCAGCAATGTGGTCAGACCAGCGCAGGGAGACCTCCCACATTCACTGGTCCTGCTGGGGCTGAATCCTTCCCTCCCTGCTTTAGAAATCAGCAATGCCACGCGGGTGCTGTCAGGATGCTCCTTGCAGGTGACAGAGGGAAAGGGCAGGTGGAGGGGAGGGGTGTGAGAGAGGGTGAACATCCCCCTTTCCCTGTGCTGGCAGTGGAAGAATTCTGGATGCCCGCATGCCTGAAGTCGGGGGCCAAGTGAGATCTGTTCCAACCCCTGCACATCAAATACTGCTGGTGGTAACAGGGACTCACTGTCACTCCCTTGGGGAACATCCATACTGCAGTGTGGTGTGACCACAGCCCATATCAGCAGGCTGATGCTAGCTTTAGTGTTGATAGCATGGTAGTCACAGCAGGAGAGTGCTTAGCATGCCTGCAAACCTTCCCAGGGTGGTGCGGTTAATTCTCAGCGCCCTTCTGGCTAGACTGCTGCTGTTACTGAAGCAGATCACCTCGTGACCTATGCGGTCCCCTGCAGCCTGCACTCACCCTGAGCATCCCTCCCTGGTACCACAGAAGTAATCCTCAAACCTCCCCAGAGCCTGCAGCTCATCCTGCCCCCAGTGCCTGCTGGGTGAGCAGAGCCGACATCCAGCAGCAGAAGGCCATACCTCCCGCAAACATGTTTGTCAGCGGTGCCCATGGAGGGGACAATGCTGGCCCCCCATCACCTCCAAGGCACCCTGGCAGGCTGCAGTCTGCCTGCAACAGAAGACCGTGTCTCAAGGAGATGCGCTTGAGTCCTACAGAAAGGCCACACCTACAGACAACATGGTCTCATGAGGACTTCCAAGTGAGGAACTTTGCGAACAGGGCCGTCCCCACCATACAAACATGCGGTGGGCATTGGGCAGGAGTGTGGTATTGGCTCTACACTTGCTGAGCAGCCACCTGCCCATCACCCCAGTATCTGCTGCCTCTTGGAAAAACAGGAGAAAGGTGCGCAAGGAGGAAACATTTTTCTCTGGCAGAGGCTCTGGAGGCACTGTTCCCAGCTGGTTACTCACACTGACACTCTTTGGGGGCTCCAGTTTTGCCGTCGGCAGCCTGCCAAGGCTGGTCGTTGTAGAGCGGGGCACAGTGCTGGCAGTGGGACCCTGCTGTGTTGTGCTTGCACATGCATTTCCCATGGACCTAGTAGGGGAAAGAGAGCAAGGATCACCCACAGCAAAGCCCAAAGAGTTGCTGGGGCACGAGCAATGCCCAGGTACAGGAGATACTGCATCAGCTAGATGCTATTACATAGGCTAGAAAGAGTGCTAGCACGATGTCTGTCTTGGTATCTTAAACTAGACAAATATTCTGCAGTTACATTTTCAATTAGATTAGTATTTGCGGATCTGCATGTCATGGTAGTATATAATCATACCTTTTCTTTGAGACCTAAAACATCTTTAGTAGAGAGTTTCCAGCTGCAGCATGAATTTCCAGGAGAGATTAAAAAAAGCCAAGATCCAAAGCATCCTTGGGACACACTGTAAAATCTTTCTGGTTTTCTCCCTCCCAAACACAAATACAGCTTTGCAGCACTGCAGGAATAGCACTCACAACCTCAGCACCCAGCTCTGTGTGCCCAGCCATCACCAACATAAATAAGTATGAGAAAAAAAGAAATTAAACCCCCCAAAACATAGCTATCTACTCATCCTAGGCAGAGTTTTTGCCCCACAAAGGAAGAACCAGGGATAGCACAAAGACCGTGAGTGACTGTACTTGGATATCTTCATGACAGATAGGTAATTTAACAGCTACAGCCTAGTGTAAGGGGGTAATTAGAGATGAAAAGCCAGCATAGCATGGTTGGTGCCAGCTGCCCTGTCAGCCGCTGGCATTACTCACGCTGTTAGCAAATGCAAAGAAAACAGGATGTAGCCAGAGGGCAAGAGCAGCCAGGCAGCCCCTAGATGCAATGAAATCAAGCTCTGAAGCAGCGTGGCTCTGCCGGCAAGGTTGAAGACCCTGCCTTTTGCCATGGAGCGTGGCAGGCAGCTACCTACCGTAGCTATTTCGGTGGCTGCCTGTGCTTGCAGCTTTACTCTGCTCGACGTTTTGCTTTTAAATACAGTTTCACTACGGGCGTTTCAGCTGCAAGTCTCTCCAGATGTCTGATGCATGGCCAGGCTCAAGGCATGACCGGTGTCCTGTGTTTGCTGAAACACAAGCTGAGTGGTGCCTCACCACCCTTGTGCCCCTTTCTTCACCAGTCGCGGGGAAAGCGATAGAGAAAGGAAGGCAATAAACTGAGCGTGGTTCAGCTTCTCCTGCTGTTCAGTAATGAGCCAGAGACCTCAGCCTGCCCTGCTGGCGTGGCCCCGCTCTCATGCCACAGGTTGGCCATAAAACCAATGGAACTGGGGAGCTGCACCAGCCACCGGCTGCTTTCGGCATTGGGAGCAACACAGGGTGGCTGGGGTAGCTGGTGATCTGGCCGGGAGCTGGGGCATGGCTTTAACTGCTACTGGAAAATGCTGGCTTCCACTCTGTTTAACTTGTGGTTTTACAAGTGTGCTGTTCCTAACTGTATGACTTGCCGCCGAGACCTGCCACGAAAAAGGTTCTTGTGAAAAACCTGAACAGTAAACAAAACAGAAGAGGACCTTGAACATGTTGTAAACAGCTCCTGCTTGTTACATAGGTGCACACACACACCACACACTCCTGGCTAATGATGACTTTCTGATTTATTTATTTTTAATGAATAGATTTCAGCTGCTATCTCACAGGGGTCAGATGTAACCGGTACAGACAAAACTTCAAAACTGACCTTGAAAGTCCTTAAAAGACTTTCCAGCAGCAATGCAAATAGCAAAATCTTTCAAAAACTTTTCAAGTGATCCTTTCCTGACTTATTAAAATGTCTGGATCATCAAAGCAGGAATAAGCAAAATACAGTACAGCAACTGGACTGTGTAAGCAATGGACAGATGCAGACGGAGTCAGACAGAATGTGCAAGCATCTGAGCGAAAGCACAAATATTAAGATAACATTGCTTTCTGTGCTATTTTGGCCTCATCGCAGATATCAGTTGGTCTCACCACAGATACTAGTTGGTCTGTCTGGCTTATCGTATTGATATATGCTTAAATGTGTGCTAATGTTTGAAAAGAATGAGAAGCAAATATAGAAAAGAAACAGAACAAATTTGCAGAGGGAATATTTAGTTCTCAAAGTGTGTCTTGTGTTTCATATTTTCATTTTTGCTACCACCTACAAAACGTTCTTCAAACTCTCACTTTCCTAAATCAACACTCTGCAATAAAATTTCTTATCCAAGGCAGAGATGAGAATATTTTTTAGGCAAAGTCCACACACAGACCAATGTTACAGAGCTACTTTACACACTTTTAAAAGCATCTACCCACATGGAAACAGAAATTGGTTAAACTTGTATTAGTCATGTGGTCATCTTCTGGTGGTTTTAATGGAGCCCTAACTCTTTGATGCCATTTTGATAGGGGTTTCTTGCAAGCCCTTTGGCCATTGAGTGGTTAGTTCTAAACAGGCTGTAGCAGCCTGAACCACATCTGTGGCCAGAGAACCCAGGATGTGTGTGAGCAGGAGGGGAAGGTGACCTGAGGGAGCCAGAGGGTGCCATGGTCAAAACCAGGTGGTCCCTTGGTGCTTCGGCGATCGTGGTGCCAAAGTAAGAAGGACGTGGGAGAAGACTTGCAAACAGGGCTATGTCTCAGACACAGGGACTCTTGGGATTAGTGCAGGGACACATGCTCTCCCTGCCTGTGCCTGCAGCCTACAGCCTCACCCCTTAAATTCAGCTCCCCCCTTGCCAAAGCCGCACAAAGAATCAGTGGGGACTTAAACTATCAGCCAGCAGCTGCCCAGCATTAATAATATACGAAACTGAAACTCAGCAGCACCTAAGAAACCCTCAAAGGATTAAGCATCCCAAGACACCAGCAGAGAGTGAGGCAAAACTCCCTGCCAAGGGAGCACTCACGGTCCCAAGGAGTAAGAGCCTGCATTTTCTGAAAGCCCAAGTACTGTATAATAGAGCATGCCGCATTGCCAGAATAGGGGGAGGTGGGTGAAAATAAAACAGAAGAGGATGGGTATCCCAAGACCCTGATGTGCAGCCATTAATTTGGCATGCAGAGCTAATAAGTAAACTGCTGAATACCTGTGCACCAAACTTCTTCATAATCTGTATGTGAACTCTAAAGAAAGTTTTTTAAAACTTAAAAAACAATATCAAATCAAGCAAATCAAGCCAGCTGGTGTCTAGAGAGCCCCTGAGGCAGAGCAGGGCATGATGCTCCTCATATTGATTGTTTGTAAATGTACGATGCACCCAGGAGGGGACGAAATGAACGGTCTGGCTGAAAAGATTAAATAATAACAGAATAGTGCCATTCCGACTTCTGCATAACGGCAAGAGCAGGATCAGGACAGAGGCCTCAAGGTGCGGGCTCCCCAGCTGACTCGGCAGGGCTGGAAACCTGCTCCTGGGGCCAGTGCTGAGCACCCAGTGGGTGCTGCCGCAGCCTGGGTCAGGAGGAACCACCCATTGCCAGTCCTTATCGCAAGGGCGCTGCTTTGCAGTCTCCTTTCCTCCAGGGGTTATCACAACCAGATGCATTAGCATCTTCATCAGACGCTCCCTCCCAAGCCCAGATCCCGCTGTGGGTCCTGCACTCCCTCTGCAGGAGCTGCTCAGCCTGGTGTGGGCTGGGATGGCCGTTCGGTGCCCCAGACTGCTGTGCACACTTTGCAAACCCATGTGCCCCTGCTTGCCATGGGGCAAGGGACTCGTAATCTCAGTGGGACTCGTGTCTGGGTGAGCACCCATGGGAGCACAGGACATGACGGCCCGGCTGGCCCCAATTCTGCATCAGATGCAGCCGCTCAGGCTACAGTCTTTGGGAGCAAGCTTTGGAAAAGGCAGCTGGGTTCCCAATTCCCATGGTGCTGAGCCTTTACAGTGGCGCTGCTCAAACAGGCTGGACCTCAAGAAAACTCTGCCTCTGTGAGGTCCCCCTGGGTCCCACGGTGGCCCTGACCCCTCTCAGCCAGGCAGAGCGGGGCACAGACCTGCTAATGAACAAGCTAAACAGCTAAATGACCCATGTCAACTGGGCGAGGGAAGGGAAACGGGCTCTTTAATAGCCTGTTTCTCAGTGCAACTCTTTAGTTAATACCTTTTTTCCCCTGTTCCTTTTTTTCCAGAAATCTAATGAAAGTCAGACCTAAGTGCTTCAAAAACCTTGCCTCAGGCTGATGTATTTATTCACTTTCAATAGCATTATAACGATTACCCCCCAAAAGAGGTCTGCTTTAAACATCTCTCCATCCTATCTTTATCCCATTGAAGAAAATCTCTTTTTTCTTCTACATAATTCCAGCATGACAGAAAAGATTTTTATGCATTGGAAACAAAAAGCAGGTGAATATTAGCAAGCCCTTTCTTGCAGCCCATAGGCAGACAAGTATTTTTTTTTAGTTATAAAGATATACTGTGACAGCTGAAAATAGGAGAAAGAAAGGACAAGAAGAGGAGGTAATAGAAGGAAAAAAGAAGCAGCGGCAGGCAAAAAACAGCCAACAGACTGTCTACACCAGGCGAAATTAATGCCTATAAGAGCTGTAGGAGGGCCAGATGCAAGACTGCTATGCCCTGTAAATTCTGTGTCATGCTGGGGAGCGGCTGGGAGCCGGGGCTGAGAAAGCAGCCCGGCAGCTCTGCTGGGACCCAAAGTATAGCAGGGAAATGATGTACCCGGCCTCGGGGATTTCTCCAGCGTCTCAGCACCTTTCTGAAGGCAGAATGTGACCCCCACGCATCAACAAGGGAAAGAGGACATTTTTTCCTCCCTTTTCATTCACCTCGATTCACATTTAGCTGTAAGGCGTACCCACTTGGGTCATTCTGGAGCATCGCTAAGTACACAAACACAATTCCCAGTACGTCTCACTGCTTTAAGCATTCACACGGCTCTTGACTCATTTAAGCGGCAAAGCCTTCTCATACCATTTTTCATTTTGTCATGGGGTCTTTACATCCCAGTTCACTTTCACACTGTTTCCCTTCTTAGCTCGACAGCCCTGTCGCAACGTCAGTCATTAGAGGGCACAATGCAAACAGTGTTACAAAAGTTGCCTTCTGTAAGATAAATGAGCG